ATTTTTATTTAATTAACTTTTACCTTTTTTTGTATTTTGTATTTTCTTTATTTTCTTGATCTCTCTATTTATCATTAAAACTAACCTTCAACAACATAAAAACTAAATAATGATTAAAGTGTTATGAAATAAGAAAGGATAAAAATAATAAAATAAGAGGCAAGGGATCGAACTAAATTTTTTACAAAAGTTTAAGGGAGCCTTTGGCAATCTATAGGATTATTATCCCTAAATTATCCCTCTTGGCTCCGCCTGTGCACCAAACTATAGGATTATTATGGGCACATAGAGACGAAAAGATCAAAAGGCAAGTGGGACTCGAGATGTATATATTTACCTTTCTGCCGTCTTCTATGAGGACAGGATGATCGCAGAGGCTGAGATAAAGGTTCTTCAAGGAAGAAACGGAGGGCGATGCAGGAATCAAATTCTGGTAGTCAGCCGGCAGGAACTTAACCCAAACGGCGTCGGAACTGGCGACAGAATTGAAAAAGGGGGAAACTAGTGACAATCTACAGGCATCCAAAGGACTGGTCAAGGAGATGATGCCGGCGAGGCAACCGGCGGGAAGAGCGCGGAAATCCAGCATCTCTGTATCGATTCGTTGACCGCTCGTACCAGCATTCATTCTCAGTCAATCCAAATGCGAGTACATTGGACATCGGAGCTTAATAAAAGATATTTTGACTTTTTTTTTTTTAATAAGGACAATTATTAGTAGTTGTTAGAATTAATAACCGCAGAATTCGATTATCAGATTAGCTGAATAGACCACCAGCCTAGAAAAGACGCGCAACGTTTCGGTGGAATTAAAAAGATAATTTGACTAAAGCTTAGCAATCAAGTCCTGTAACAGTAAAACGTACTTGGCGGACTGGCCACGCACACAAATGTTTATTTATTTATTTTATTTTATAAATAATTAATTATAATATTTAAAAATATTAAATTATATTCTCTTTATAGTAAAACAATTATCATAATTTAATTTTAATTTTATTTAAAATTAATTATTATTTTTTATTTTTAAAAATAGACAAATATTTTTTATTTTAATTTTATTATTATTTATTTATTTTAATTAATTATCTTATTAAAAAAATTTATTTTAATTTTTAATTTTTTTATAAAATATAAATAAATATATAAACTATCTCTAAATTTTTAATTTTAAAAACACTCAAGAAATAATAGTTATTTTGAAATTAAAGGATATATATATTGGGTTAGTGTTTATCCGCTTTACCTTCAAAAAAATTAAGAGAAAAAAAATACAAAAATGACTTTAATGCATCTTTAAAGATATGGTAATTTAGTCTTTTTCAATAAAAATTTATTGAAACGACGCAATTTTGAGATAATTTTTCTCTTAATTTTTAAAAGATAAGACTGATAAACACTATTTTCTATATATATTAATAGAGTTAGTATCACCGACAACATGTTGGTTCTAGTGATAGCTCTTCTTAAATCAAATCTTGAGTTTGAATCTTCTAGAGAAACAAACGTTAGGAGAATTTTTTTTTACATAAGATCTAACACAACTTGATTCTGGATTCATTGTGATCTAATATAACTTTCGAATACCAGGAGATTAATATCAAAAAAGAAAAAATAAAGTTAGCATCTATCTATACAAAAATTTTATACATTATATTTATATAAAATCTTAATTATTTATCATTTTATTTTTAATAGTTAA